ATGAAAACTGCCCAAGATTCCGTTAATGAAGAGATAAACGGTGTTCAAGAAAAGATGACAGCCGGAAAAGAACCTGTTGAAGAAGATGAAAGCCCTTCAGAAAAAGATTGAAGCAGGTCAACATGAAATGAAAAGAGAAATTATTTGCATAGTAGAAAACAAATTCGAGGGTATGGAAGGCAGAATAGACACTGATGGAAATAGGGTTGGAGAAATTCGAAAAAGATTTTTTTCTGGCAAGGAACAAATCGAAGATAGAGTTTCTACTGTTAAACAACAAATCGATTATAGAGTTTCTGCTGTCGTCACAGAATTTGACAGTTTAAAGAAATTCATAGCTACAGTAGAAAGCAATTCTGACGATTTTAAATTTTTACCCATGCCTTCTCAATCTAAAGCTATCCATATATGACGCTAAGACCTCCTTTCAAGTGTATAAGACACACTTTTCTATAATGGCAGTCGAAAATGGATGTGATTCCCAAGCTAAGACTTGTCATCTTGCCCCTTCTGTGAGAGCGGACGCAGCGGATATCCTTCAAACTCTGTTCGAAAACTAGAGGTTATACTTCGAAGCTCTATCCTGCGTGTTGGAGCTGCGCTTTGACGAGAAGTGTTTAAAAAATTACAGCAGGCTTCAATTAAAATCCCGTCAACAGAAACCTGCGGAAACAATCCATGAACTTGCTACGGATGAAAGGCTGTCTCATCTTGCCTTTTCGGAGTGCTTGACAGAAACAAAGGAAATCCTGCAGTACTTCATCGATAGCATCTGGGATCCCGAAATACAGAAAGCTCCACGAATCGAGAATGTCAGGGATTTAAAAAGCGTTCTAGTATACGCCATGAAATTCGAGGCAGCCCAGCAAATTACTCATAGAGACTGCCACCCAATAAGAGCTGCTCAAGTCTAAGAGGCAGTGAATAAACTGTCTACTCGTTTAAACGATTTAATCAGACAAATCAGTGTCTTGATACGGAATAGGAGTGAGAAGAAACCGACTGTAAAGTGTTGGAAATGTGGTGCTGAAGGCTATGTATGTAGGAATTACAGAACTCCCCAGGGCACGGAAAATGAGATCGTTTCTCAGCAAGGAAGCAAGGGGGAAAAGTAGTGGCTATCTCGCGAAGCGGATGTTGCCAGATGCCCCACATTAAAGGGCTTCAGATTTCTGCAGTGAGTGGCGGCAGTAATGGACATTTCATCATGGGCGATATCAATGGAATTTCTTGCAGTATGGCCATCGATACTGGAGCCAATATTACCATAATCCGAGAAAACATTTGAAAGGTAAACTAATCTGGACGCCTCGCCGATAATTTTAGTGAAATTATTGTATTTTTTCTGTATAATGTAACATAAAAAGCTGAGAGAATTGATGCTCTGCCGGAAAAAATGAGAATACTATTTAACATTGAATAAATGTCTATCTCCCTAATTTGGAGAGATATCGTTGTCAGTTGACTAATTTAATTGGTTTTCAACAGATAAGTTGCCTCGAGCGAGCGTGGCGAACATAAAGTGGCCTAAAAGGGCAGAAACATGCTCTGTTTTACAATCCAAAAACCTCAGTTTAAATACTTTCTAACTAAATTTGGATTCTGGTGAGGAAATGGAAAGAAGAAGTGATAATAGATGCTAAAATTATAAATAACTGGGTAATATAAAATAATAGTAACTGTAGAGACTTGTCCCTATACAGTGAAGAAAATAATGCTAAATATCTTGCAAATCCAAATTTTTCTTTGTCAGTTGTTCTGTAGAAAACTACAGAACAACTGACATTACGCAAAACGTGCGCTTAATTGCATGTTCGATTCATTCACGAAAATGATATAATTAATCAATTTTTGTGTTTTTGTAATTTATCTGATTTTAGAACAGTGAAATGTATTTTCAATAAAAATTAATCCGTATTTTTAAGAAATTAAAATTTTGGGAAATTTGTACGTTGACATTTGCACTAGCGATGCTTCGGCTATGACTAGATTTGTAGAAGGATTTGTAGCATACTGAATGGACCATACTGCAGGCATATTAGTGACCTAGTGTTATTTACATCCGAGAAACGCACATTACAAAGCAGTTACCATCAGAAATGAATATAGTTCTGGAACAATGGTTTAAAATGACTAATTATATTAAAATCAAGATCATTTAAAATGTCGCCTATTTAGTCAATTATTCTAGACTATGGAGTCTAAATACAAGTTACAAAACATTCCATATGTTGTTACTGCTAACTTTTGTTTGCAGTAACAACATATGGAATGTTTTGTCCATATGTTATGTTTTGTTCTCGTTTACTTGAATTAAAACACGAGATAAGGATTTTGGTGATTTGCTTAGATGACAAAGTATGGTGTTCTAAGCTAGCTTTGCTTACCTGATATTTTTGTTATTTCTAATAGCATAAATACAAATGAGCAGGACCGAAAGAATATATTTTAGCCTTAACTGATTATTGAATTTTAAAAAAGAAATACTTTATGGAAGAATAAAGCACAATAAGGTAGTTTAGAAAAGTTTGAGTCACTTCTTTAATAGTGTTATAAAATGATTCATAAAATAACTATTTATCATTTGACAATACAAGAGCAAAAAACTGTTAATTACTTTCCCCCCCCCCCAAAAAAAAAACTTGACTCGGTTCGAAATCTATTTGTGATAAATGACACGTGGATGTATATGAATTGAAGGAACTAATTTTGATGTCTAATAACCGACAATTTAAGCGCATAACTTTAACACCATTACCTACCTGACTTAGAAAGAATGAGCTGTACGTTTGCATAAAACATGTGCCTTTAATGTAGAATGCAGTCTCACTTCCCACGAGATATTGGTTATTTGCCTACACTATTCATAAGAATATTAAGTTCTCGGATAATTACCACTCTTCTATTTGCTATTAACGTCTAGATAGGTAGTTTCAATTCAGTGATAATTTAAACTTTTCTTTTTCATGTTTAAGGGCCTTTTGTCTAAAGTGCAAACAGTATTCTGTAAAGAATCACTCTACCTTTTTCTCACATGATAAGAAAGCATTTAGGACTCTGAATAAACATACTGGAAAGTATAAAAATTTTATTTGTTTTCTTGTTCTATTCAAGAGAAAAAAGAATATTCATTTCTCAGCAGAAACTGATATTTTGCCTCATTCATGTATTGAAGAAAGTCATTAAAGCACAATTTTGGCCGATCGATTTGTCTTTACTAACACAAGATCACTCGAAATTTTCATCTAAGTTGTTATATTAGGAAAGGTTGTAGAGACATTAGGTTATTTTTAGAAAGCAAGAGACTTGAAAAATTAGCAACGCCTTCGCCGAGAATCGAACCGCGGACCTTTTGAATACGTGCCCAGCTTGCAGACCACCACACCACCAAGGCATGCGAAGAAGGCGGGAGAAGTACCTTATATACTCCCCCATTCAAAGGGCGACTGGGGTTTTTAGGGGACCTATTCGCCAAATCCTGGGTGTGGAGATTCGTCATTCACCACCCTTTTAGTTCGGGTGCCACTGTAGAGACATTAGGTTATTTTTAGGAAGCAGGAGACTTGAAAAATTACAACGTTTTTCTCCGGGAATCGAACCGCGGACCTCTGGAATACGCGCCCAGCTTGAAGACCACCACAACACGAAGGCATGCTAGGAAGGCGGGAGAAATACCTTATACTATTTGAATTTAAATGTCCTGATTAGGTCATCTAAATTCAAATAGCTTGTATAATCGGAAGTAAACCGACGCTTTGAAATATATGTTGCTCTAAATCAGCGTAGTTTGAAAGGAATATATATCGATGTAACATATATTGACATACTTAAAAATTTTAATTAAATAATAAATATATTACCGAATATTGCATATTGTATAGCGAATACTTCACGATTAAGAAATACATTTCATAAAAAATGATTTAATAGAAACATTTTACCCGAATGCTCTGCATTTCATATGTTGAGATTGTTTTAATGTTTTTTGGAAAACAAAGAATATATTTGTTATATTACCTGCAGTGTCACGATCATGAAAGTTTTGGATTGACTAGTTTTATCGAATATTTTAATTATCAGAAACTTCATTAGGGATAATGATACCAAGATTTTTTATTGCCAAATATGTAAATTATAAGCCTACAGTTTCGTTCTTTTCTGAATTGTATTTTCTTATGATACTAGAAAGTACTAATCTGGAAAGAATAAACATATTAAAACATTTTTAAAGCATGAAAACAACTATGAATCTTTTTAGGAAACATTTCGCTCACATTATTATGAAGGTAAGTAGTAGCACAGGTTAAACACAAACGCGAGTTTAAAGGCAGGCCACGTAATCAAGATCTGCATTTATCCAAGTAAAGAGAATGAAAAGACGAATTTGAAAAATGTTCAGATTTTGAATTCTTTAAAAATATCAACAAAGTTTACGTATTACAATAGTTTAAGATTAAAAAGTAAAGAATTTTAGGAAAATCTTCTGTTCATGTAAATCGTCAAATCCGATAAATGTTTCAAATTTTAACAATTTTTATAACAAATTCTCTATTCATTGTCGCAATAAAATTAATTAAGTAGTTATTAAAATTAAGATAAATTATTATAGACGTAGAATATTATACATTTCTTCGCTTCATTTCAGATTACGATTTAGCTTAGCAGTTGCTAATCCGAGACTTTTCAGCTACTTGTTGCTATTTTTAAAAGAATGAAAGATTGAATCAAAATGCATTGTGCGATATACTGCCAAGCCTTTTGGCAAGCGGTTTAATCATGGGACCTTCGGGACCTAAATAGAATTAAAGAATGAAGGAGAGACTGCTCGAGAAAAATGTGAAACCCTCTACACTGGTGATTTTGTCTACGCTCTCTGCTACCAGCTACAGTTCTCACCACTTTTCTACTTCAACATCAACCTGCAGGGATTGAAACATTTTAACTGCTGTTAAGAGTTCATTTAGTAGTTTTTCTCGAGTCATCGCCCCTTTGGTGGCACTATGATTTCCATAAATAGTGCTCTATTAGCTTTGGACAAAAAGTTACAAGAGGATAATAAACTGAATGAATATCTTAAAAAGGCCGAAGAGATCTCAGGAATAGAGAGGCGCAAATTGGTCTTAGGAATATGTTTCACACTTGGTTTCTTAGTCATTATTGGATATGGTGCTCAACTGATATGCAACGGAGTTGGATTTGCATATCCTGCTTATGCTTCCATACTGGCCATCGAGAGTAGAAACAAGGAAGATGACACCGTTTGGTTAACTTACTGGGTGGTCTTCGCCGCATTGTCTCTAGTGGAATTTTTCTCCGACTTCATTCTGGCATTGATTCCCTTCTACTGGCTACTAAAATGTATTTTCCTCATTTGGTGTTTCATTCCTTTTCGAATTAATGGTTCGAGGTTTATTTATTACAGATTGATCAGGCCTGTGTTCTTATCTCACCTAGCACAGAGTGAAACGGAAGATAACTCTCCCGGTGAGCACGAGAAGTCCTCTTAAGTTATTATTCTAATTGCCGGTTGGAATCTGTTTTCTACAGCAGAAGAGGTGTTATGGAGAAAGAAGTGTGTTGCAGAAAAGTTTAGTAGTGGTTTTATAAATGTTTTATGTCTAATTTCCACACGTGATATCGTTCACACGAAATTATTACACGAAGTAACCTAGAAATTCATTTACTATTCCTTCCTAACTATACACTGAAAAGAAGTGAAGTGCTGTCTTTTAATGTGAAGTGCAACGCTATCTTTCATTACCAAAAAATAATCAGGCTATGTTTTCTCGATATTGCAAGTTTATTGTGTTTTTCATCTCAAATAGTTGAAACATTAGAGAGAGTAATGACACAGTTTTTATCTCCACTGAATCTTAAAAATAACCAGATTTTAAATGAAATTTTTATGTGTTAGTGTATCATAACTAGAATATGAAATTTTATATGTATTAGCTCTTTAAGGAAAGAAAAGTGGACTTTGTTTCCAAAATTTAAGAAAAAAATTTGAAAGTATGTTATTTGATCTGCTTTAAACAATAAGTATTAATGAAAGTTCCCATTCAAAACTTCTTATAACAATAAAAATATTCGAACGAAATAATTCCGATTCCGATACGAAAAGACTTACGATTCCGAACTCTTGCAGAAATTGATATATTACATGTACATATTATTAGAAATGGTTCAGTCATGGTAATTTCTAGTATAAAACAATCTTAGTTTTTAAAGTGCCAGCATTTTGAAAGAAAAGATCTGCATTCGACTCTAAGTGATACAAGGAACTTTAATAATGTGCGTCCTGTCTGAGAAAATATGTCGAAGTACTGTAGCCTTTTCTGAGTGTTACGAGAGACTTTTACGTGTTCATATATTATACGTGTGTTTTATTTCTCCAAAATGGAACCCAAGTTTCCAATAAAGCTCAAGAATCTCAGAAGCTCCATTCCACTTTATGTTATCATTGATCCATACCGAAGAAGAAGTTAGTTCGAAATATTTTTAGTGAGCATTTGAAAACGTCTTCACATTTTTAACTATTTGTATATTTACCCTAGTTAAATTTGTACTACACTTATCATATATTCTTTATTAGAACATCCTTCATTTGTCACGAAATTAAAAAAATGTTTTGTTTTAATATCTTTCATTTGAGTTGAATAGATTGCATACTTATATATTTTGAGCAAACAAAACAGATTGTTTATTTTGTAAAAAAAAGTATTTCTGTTCACAATATACAATTACCTTAATTTTATTTTATTTCATGCGAATTATTAAAGGTAAGTTAAAGAAATGTATTTGTATTACGGAAAGAAGTACCCTAGTATTTTACGTGATTGCTAAATATGTTCTCACTATGTCACTATTCACCTACTCCTAGCTCGTGACATCTAAATGTGAACTTTTAATGTGATTTTTTAATTTGATTTTTTCACCGTGATGAAGTATTGTGTATTAATTAATTTTTGAAATTTGGTTGAATCTGCATACTTACTACATTACTGATATCCATTTTCAACTGTTCTGAATATATTAGGATCAAAGTATGATTTAAAAAGCGAAATTTTAACATTATGAATTTTGATTTATTTTGTAATGAAAATTAGAATTTAACTCAATAATGAGTTCGCATAATTTTTTTAATTTAATTTGTATTTGGTTTGACTAAAATTCTTTTAAAGTGGCACTTTATATACCGTTTTACTTTATATTAATATCAGAGCATTATTCATCGACTGTAAGTTGATTAGTAATCTAGTTCATCGGTATGTCAAATTTTGCAACATGAATTTTAAGAAGTAATGAATATTAGTGTGTATATGCTTTTAAGTTCGAAAATTTATTTTCATAGTACAGAAACAATCATCACGAGCCATTATCAGTCAAACATAAATTTTCTGATTTATTCATGTTAAGTTTCATAAAATTCGTAATAAAACTGAACATATGTAGCTCCTCCTTTTGAGAAAGGGCTTTTTTTATGTCTACAGATACTATCTACATTTAGAAGAGAAATAATATTATTTCGCACTATGTAGAACATATAGAAATTTTTTGGCAGTCATTTTTACGCTTTTACATTTATAGGTACATAGTTCTGTTATAGTTTACTTATGTTATATTAATTAGTCAATCAGTTAACTAATTTCTTTTGAAATGGAACTTCGAAAATTATTAACCCACCCCAATCTACGAATTAATATCAATAGTAGTGTATAGATGGCAGCACTATGCACATAATTGTAACCGAAAACAAATATATTATTTTTGAACTAGAAGTGCTGCCATCTTTTCCCCATTTTTTCCAACAAACGGTGCTTTTAATTTTATTATGTTCTTTTAATTGCATTTAAATTCACATATTTAAAGACTTTTTTTGAATTTATCACCATTTTATTTTTATTTTTTTAAATTTTAGTGGTAGTAAATAAATAGTAAAATAAAATGGGATTAAGCATTATTCGACATTTTTCAGTGCTGAATCATTCGACATTAAGCGTGTGCTGTGGAACGCACTTAGGGTTCAGAAAGTTACATTTTCCATTGCGAAAGGTGTGGACGGCATGTGAAGAAGTTTGGAAACTAAACTACAAAAACTGTAACAAATAATTCGTTTCACTGACAATATTTTATTAGAAATTATAAACATTAAAAATAATTTCCATGGACAGTTAAAGTTTTAAATATTTTCTGTTATTTCATTAATTTTTTGGCTTCCACAGGAGAATACGAAAATAAATATTTTAATAGGTTGATCTAGTGACTAATTCCTCATAGCAACCATACAAAAAAAGGGTCTTTGTCGTCTTATTTTAGCTAATATGAAAATAAGTTGTTCGTTTATGCAAATAAAAATTTAATTTTTACGAAAGAAATACTTTTTGAATTTTGCTTCTGAAACAATGAAAAGTTAAAATTTTTTTTAATATGTAATTTTCTTTCAAGTATAATCTTATAAACGGGAGGAAGCAATTCCTTAACATGGATCAGTCTAGGTACGAATTTTGATTGACAACCCGAAATCCAGATTTTTCGAATATCCGAATAAACTTCTTTCCAAATAAATAAGGATATTTCTATTGCAGTGGCGCCCAGCCTATTTAGAATAGGCAAGTCACATTGTGTATCGCAGTTTTAATATTTGAGTTATAAATGTAATTATAATACTATTATTATTTTTGAATTATAGTAATGTTATTGTTATTCAGTTAATTTTATTATTTATATAATATATAAACAGTGCCATATAATATATCAAAGGAGAAATGCAGTTATTTACTCTTCATATTACCATTTTTTCTAATTCCCACAAATGCAAATTAAATGCTGGAAAAGTAAACTTTGATGTGAAACCTGACGAAACGTCTTCTGCGAGTTTATTCCATTCTGGTACATACGAGGATGTTCCGTTCATTATCCTGAATCTAAAATTTGATTTTAACAAGTAGGATGTTGGAAAAGCCCTTTCGTATTGGTAAATTGATCCAAGGCAAGAGTCTAACTTTTGAAAAGTTTTTTAAGAGTGAATATTTTTTCTCATCTGTCAGCTTGTTTGTAATATTCTTGTGTTTAATTCTAAATCGGATTGAAAATCAGTTATTTCCATTTCTAGATCGATAGAATTTTTATTCAACATATTTGCAATCTGACACGTTATTTCAGAAATATTAGTACCAACAAATGGATTTGAAATGAATGAAGCAATGGGCTGAATTATACAAAACATATAATCTAATTTCGAAACTAGGTTTAAGCTCGACGAGATTTTCAGATTATTTAATTGGTTAGTTTTCTTATATTTCTTGATGTAGTTCTCCAAATCTGCAAAGGGGCAAAAATTACATTCCTTTATAGTTAAAAGTTACATTCAGAAGCTAGAAAGGTTACAAAAGTTATTCACTTATATTCAAAAGTTGCATTCCTTTCATGTGTGAAAAATACTTTGCAGAAATTTAATTTTGATTTGAATGTGTTTATAATTCCTATTAAATCTTTTCTTTGACTTGAAGTATTTAAGGTTCAGTTTATTCTTTTTGATTGTTACGTATGTAAGAAAATCTTAATCAAATAACCGGCTATGATCACTGAATGAACTGAATGAAAAAGGAAATTACGAATACTTAATATGAAATCAAATAATATGTCAGTAATTATTGCGAAGGAAAATTTTATAATGTTGCAAGCTTACGGCTTACGTGTCTAGCAATAAAACTATAACAAAACAAAAACAAAAACAAAAAAAAAAAAAAAAAAGGAATCAATTAAAAAAAGAATTAATCAGTTTATTTCAAAAGAATATTTTTTCCCTTATTTATTCTGAAATGCAAGTAATGTTAATATTACATAGCTAGTGATTAAAAAATTTGAGTTTGTTAAAACCACTATTTGAAAATAATAAAAACTAATAAAATCAATCAATCAATAGTGTAACAGAAAGAAACGTTGAAGGCAATCACTAAACTTTTATATCATTTAGATAAATAAGCCATGATTTTTTTTTCTAAATTTTAGTTCCGAATTTTAGTTTTAATATAATTTCCAAAAATTCTTGATTAATTTCATTTTTTCACCAAAATAATCTGAAAAATAAAACACAAGAAATAAGGATATGTATTTATTATTAGTATCTTTGTTATACGAAAAATTCAGATCGGCTGCTGTAAAATACCAAATATTGTCCCGATGGTGCAGTCACAAGTTGCGAAGTCGGACTGCTGCATTTGCATCGACTGTTCAGAATAGTAAGCGGAAGCGAAGGTTATTTCTCATTCTGTTGCTTTAAATTTCGTAAAAGTGTTAATTTATATTACTTCTTTTAAATTACTTTCTTGAATGTTATGGGAAAGAAAAAAAAAAAAAAGGCTTATAAGTTTTGCAAAACCCTTGAGTGTTCTCTATGGAACACACGGCTCTGTGGAACACAGTTTAAGAAACTCTGTTCTAGGGGAAACTGACTTGTATTGAAGTTACACACGGGGAAGGCACCGACAAACCCATGCAGTTAACC